GAGCCTCCTTTTGAGAATGTAGGATTCTGATATAACGATGATATAATCTTAGTATATCAATTATCATAAAATGTTACTATTACTAAAGTAACACTAATTAATAGTAAGAGTTAATACTTGTTAAGTGCTTATATGCTGGACACTGCACCAACTTGTTTCTCATTATATTGAGGAGATAGAAGAGGGCTAGGTAGTTAGGCTCGGGACCACAGGAGGGAAGGAAAATTGGGAAGGCGAGGAGGAGGAGGAGAAGGAGAGAAAAGAGAAGAGAAGAGAAAGAAAAACATCAGTTTGTTGTTCCACTTATTGATATATTCATTGCTTGCTTCTTGTATGTACCCTGATCAGAGATCGAACCCACAACCTTGGCACATCAGGACAAGTCTCTAACCAACAGAGCTACCTGGCCAGGGCCAGACCAGTTTCCTTAGAGTTATATGTAAATAATGTATATATAATATTTATAACATAATTTAACGCAATTTAGGATCTGAATTCACAAAACATTTAATTCTGAATGAAGCTCCCACGTACTTTCTGGGTGCCGGTACATATTTGTATTCACTATCTAAATGCCGCGTTTTCTACACAGAGTTTATCGTGACTCTCAGAAGGTGTTAGTTTAGCAAAAGAGAGCGAACTTTTCTTATTCATAGTGTAAATCTGCACTCATTTCTCTGAATACTCCTTATTTCATGTAGAATTCTATGGACATTACACTGTTATTTCCATCACTTCTTGTTCATTCATCTAATGGAATTCTTTTCTCCTAGTGCTTCACTGAAACAAAGATAGTGCTTTGGAAATTTCTACTCCTTCTCCCCCATCCCTCCTTTTTTTTTTTTCCTCTCAGTCTTGTGGGAATGTAACCATACCTTTCTGTTTGGATGATGGTGGATGGTCCTTAGAATTGATGTTATTCATGGTCTGCTCTAGGCAGCAATGCTATTGTGTATAAAGAAAAAAATACATTTAATCCACCACAAGGTTTGTTTGTTTGTTTGTTGTTGTTCTTGTTGTTGTTGTGTGTGTGTGTGTGTGTGTATGTGTTTTTAAATCCTCACCCGAGGATATTTTTCCATTGATTTTTAGAGAGAGTGGAAGAGAGAGGGAAAGACAGAACTATCCATGTGAGAGAAACACATCGATTGGCTGCCTCCTGCAGGAGCCCTGACAAGGGCCCGGGCCAGGGAGGAGCCTGCAACCTAGGTATGTGCCCTTGACTGGAATTGAACCTGGGACCCTTCGGTCTGCAGGTAGACACTCTATTCACTGAGCCAAAATGGCTAGGGCCCATCAGGGTTTTCAATGAGGAAATGAGAAACAGAAATAAAGACACTAATAATGTAAAAGAAAATCTTAATTCTGTTTCCATTTTTCTCTAATTTTTATTATTATTTTTTACTTTATTTTCCCCCATCACCATTTATCCCCCCTATGCCTTTTCCACTCCACCCAGCCCTCACTCCCATGATCACCACACTTGTCCATGTCCATGAGTTCTCTCTCTTTTTTTTTCACTCTCCAATTTTTATGTATCCAATTTTTGTATTTCACTTTTTAGCTAATATTATCTTCATAAACCAAGTTCCAGTAACTAAATAGGAATAGCTGGACTTTGAGTCGGAAATGAGCAAAGACAGATGTTGCATTTCCTTTTAATCTTCTAATGACTCTGCTTTTTATTTTTTTTATTCAGAATTCACTACTGAGTTCAGCTTCATGATAGAAAATGCAAGATTCATGAAAGTTAAACCGTTTTTCATGTGTAAGAGCTGTAGTGGAAAATGAGGGCCTTTCTTTTTTTTTAATCCTCGCCTGAGGATAATTTTCCATTGATTTTTAGAGGGTGTGGAAGAGAGAGGGAAAGACAGAGGGAAATACTGATGTGAGAGAAACACATCCATTGGTTGGCTCCTGCACGTGCCCTGACCAGGGTTGGGGAAGAGCCTGCAACCGAAATACGTGCACTTGACCGGAATCTAACCCGGGACCCTTCTGTCCGCAGGCCCACACTCTATCCATGGAGCCAAAGTGGCTAGGGCAGCCCTTTCTTAATTAGACCAGCTTCCCACTCCATCTTTTCATGAACTTTCCTCTCTTATTCTCTTGGTGATAGTAGTAGGCAGCCTTAGGAGGGAAAGAGGCAACTTTAAGCCGATTCAAGGGTGTCATCCAGAAAAGTGAATGAGGAAGAAACAGTGTAGGACTTTAGTAAAACTTACTGTGTTGTTATAATTTTTTTCCTCTGTGTTTGTGCATATATGATTGTGTGGGATAGCGTTTGCAGAGAAAAAAAGATTGTCTTCTGCTAAGTTGTTAATTTTTCTTGTCTGTCTCTAACACATAGTCAGTAGGTTGGTGCCAGTTCATTCAATTTCCCTCCTGAGGCTGTGTGGGAGGGTGCACTTCTTTGACACCTTGAAGTCAGGGTGACAGTGTGAGTTGTCTAGTTCCTCCAGCCTGTGTGTGACTCACCGTATTTCTTTCCCGGCTGTGTCGATCACAGGAGCTGGTGACAGGATGGGATTTCAGTCAGCCTGGTTCTTGGTTGGACACGTAGATGTGAGTGAGAAATAAGCGTTTGTTTTAATCCGCTGAGATTTCAAGGTTGGTGTTCACTGTTTTGTGTCCCTGCCGATCCTGACAGTTGAAGTCCTTATAGCGAAACCCCTGTTTTCATCCCAGGCCACCTTTTCCGTTCGTTTATGAGACACTAAGTGCATAATTACATGCTTCAGGGGAAAGTAAAGCAAACAAGGCTCAGTCCCCCTTTTCTTCACTGTGACATTAAATTGCTTGGTAAAGTCATCCTCTTCAGTATTTATGCTTCGATATTTTAAAACCAGTAAACAATAGAGAATTTTCATTACAAGGAAATAAGAGAATTTTCCTAGCGATGAAAATTCTCTTATATGCTATCTCAAGAGAATTCTGTTTATGTTTTTGCCTTATAAAATAATTGCTTTTCTTCCCATCTGTCTATTGAGGAGGAAAGATTTTTAACCAGAGAGAGTAGAACAATTATTGTTAACAGGGAATTGAATTCCAAGATAGTCTAAGAGATAGGAAAAGGGCACCTGGACGGTTTAAATGAGTTCAAGTTCCCAAATCCAGACAAATTGTGTTTCATTGAAAAGGTATGGCCAGGTTTCCACACACCATTGAGAAGAGGAAAGCAGACACTGTAATAACACCTCTCTCCTTCCCTCTCTTCCTCCCTCCCTCCCTCCTTCCCTGTCTGTCTGTCTGTCTGTGTCTGTCTTTCTTTCTCTTGCCTAGAGGAGTGCTGGTAGAGAGGCACACGCCCATCAGGGATTATATTTCCCAGTCTGTCTCAGGGATTCCTGTCTACATCTCCCTTCCATTGAGAGCAAAGTCACCCTCAGGCCATTTCCCACCAGTTTCCACTCTTCTCTACATACAGCGTTCAGAAACCCCTGATAGTCCTCAGACTCCCCCATTGAGCCCTGCGCTTCATGTAGAAAAAGGGGGGCGGGGAATGAAGAAAACTTTCTTGAAAGCCTGCAGACTTTCATTCCACAAGGAATGTGTTGACCATATGCATCCTAATCCAGATGAACAATGTGTGTCCATTCCTTCAGCTCACCAGTATGTAGCCATGTCTGCTCCGTGCCTTAAAGCAAACACTCACAACTGTCCTTCCTAGAATGTTCTACCAATCTTTTGCTTAAATGGGGATGGAGTTGTTAATGCACCATCCCTTACATGTTAGATTATATATATTTTTATTGATTTCAGAGAGGAAGGGAGAAGGAGAGAGAGCTAGAAACATCAGTGATGAGAGAGACTCCTTGGTCGGCTGCCTTCCGCACACCTCACAGTGGGGACTGAGCCAGCAACCCGGGCATGTGCCCTGAATGGGAATCGAACCGTGACCTCCTGGTTCATAGGTCGAAGCTCAACCACTGAACCACGCCAGCCGGGCTATATTTTTCATTATGACATAATTTATCTGCAAGAGACATTGATTTTCAGTGAATTATGTTCAAGATTTTTTGGCCGTTATATGGAGGTGTAGGCACTTAGTTGTAATTATTATAGGTAAGGTCACCACTGAATGACTAGGGTCATAAAAGAGATCTTCCCCAGATTAACCAAAGAACTTGTATGCATAGATGTATAACCCATGGACACAGACAATAGTGTGTTGAATGGTGAAGGAGGTGGGGAGAATGGGGGTGTGTGAGCTAGAATGTGTCAATGGGGGCGGGGGAAGGGGACATCTGTAATACTTTCAACAATAAAGATTAAAGAAATGATCTTTTAATTCCTAATAATATGGAGATGATATGATTTATATTTATATCCCCTTTTTGTGAGTATGCCTATAGAATATCCTAACGTTTTTGTCTCTTATATGTTCTCTGTACCTGATGGCAGGTGTGGTTTTTCCTTAAAACCTGAATGTCAAGATAGTTAGCAGAACTCTCAGAGCTTTTCCGACATTTAGCTTTCATGGGGAGGATTCGATTCCTTGTGGTCCTGGTGACTACTGCGTGGAGTTGAGTGACTCTACAGGGAAAACATCTGGCCCAATTTATCTTCAGGCATAATTGAATAATGCTGAATGGCAACCTCTGGGAGCACTATAAGTGAGACTTTATGTAACTGCTAATTTAGAGTTGGTTAATAGGTAACTCTTACTTGTATTTCTTTCCAAAGGATAGATACTTGGATCACATCAGAGCTAATCATTTTTCTTCATCCTGACATGTAAACATAGCATTATGGTATAATGAGCTCCCAGCCTGGTTGTATGTGGAACTCTGCTGGTAAAGTCAGGACTGAGGAAAGCTAGAGAGCAATAGGGACGGTCTGTTTTCATAGACTCTTTTGTTGGCAAAGGTAAGTTTTATTGCTCCATTGCCTCCTTAAAGAGACTCAGCCCGTATTTCATATCAACAAATATCAGCTGATTGAAGCCAGTTTTGTTTGCTTTGTGCCTTGAGAAGTACGGCCTTCATTCCTCCAGCACATACTTCAAGAAACAGGACCGAAAGGGGGTAGGATGGAGAAGGTTAGAAAACTTGGCTAATACTAAGGTGGGTAGTATATCAAGTTGAACATGAAAGTAATTGCCCCAAGAATGCATTTAGCATAAATCTTGAGGTAGATACTTCCGTGGTATCCTAACTAATTGAGTGTAGTAAACCTGGTGGGAGATCTTTGACTTGGTTTTCAGTATAAACAGTTATGGTAGATTGTGTGTGTTTGTCTTTTCTCTTTATTTTCTTTTAGTTATGGTAGATTTTCACGCACAACTCCAATTAGAAACAGGGAAGCACATATCTTATAAGCCTCTGACCTATAGATGATCTCCCAGTCATATTGCTAAAATATTAAGATACCTGGTTCATATATATATGTGTGTGTGTGTGTGTGTGTAAAAATGTCCCCTTTCTAAAGCCTGGGATTCAGAAATTCTTAACTCATCAAGCTTCAGTTCTAGGTAAAGACCTCTGACTGCTAGAATTATTTATATAATAATTTTATATAACTGTTTAATTTTTTAACTATTATCTCTGGATGGGTCAACGTGTATATTTGACCAAAGGCTACCAATGTGCATTCCCACATTTTATTTCATTAAGAATATAGTTGCCAATGATGAAAAAGTAAGTTCTACCAACAACTACTCTTCTAGTCATCTTCTAAAGGAATCAAAATTTAACATCAGATTCAAAACATCATGTACTTTGCAATTCTTTAAAATCCTGTGAGAGGAACTAACTGAGGGCTTAATAATTAGTGTAAGGAACACATTGGTCATGAACATTTAGCCATGCACAGAGACTAAAATCCAACTCTAACCAAATTGTTGAGACAAAGAATTTGTTGGAAGACTGGTACAAACATCAACTAGAATCAGTGAATAAAAGTCCTCAGTAACCCCTGAAGGAGGAATGAATGTGTCCAGGATCCTCTCATCTCTGCTGCTCTCTGCACAGAAGCCTGGTGCCTGGTTGTCTGAACCTGGCTTCTTCCTCATGGCCAGGAACATGACATCCAGCAAGTCTCAGGGCCCCATCACATGGCGTTATTGCCAGAAAGCAATGAGATTTTTCTTTTTAAAAATTATGTTTTTATTGATTTCAGAGAGGAAGGGAGAGCGACAGAAACATCAATGATGATAGAGAATCATTGATCGGCTGTCTACTGCACACCCCATACCAGGAATCAAGCCTGGGCATATGCCCTGACCAGGAATACCAAAATCAAACCGGTGACCTCTTGGTTCCTGGGTAGATGCTCAACCTCTGAGCCGCACCCGGCCGGGTGAGAGATTTTTCTTGAGCTTTAGCCTAATGTATCCTGGGGAAGATCGGTGGTTGCCTCCTTGTGGACCCGCCCCCCTGCCATCCCACCACCCCATCATTAGTAGGTAACTCTTTAGGATCTATAGCAGTGGTTCTCAATCTTCCTAATGCCGCGACCCTTTAATACAGTTCCTCATGTTGTGGTGACCCCCAATTTCATTGTTACAAATTGAACATAATTAAAGCATAGTGATTAATCACAAAAACAATATGTAATTATATATGTGTTTTCCGATGGTCTTAGGCGACCCCTGTGAAAGGGTCGTTTGACCCCCAAAGGGGTCGCGACCCACAGGTTGAGAACTGCTGCTCTAAAGGAATATGACAGCTCCCATTCACATCAAAGTAGGAAAGGGTATTTTTTCAGAAATAGAGAATGAGGAGTTCACAAAAACCATCACATCAACCTTCCCTTGTCCTTTGTTGGTCTTGTTTTCATTCATTAGGCAAGTTTTTATTAAATGCCTACAGTGTGCCAGGTACTGAAAATAAAGCAGTTTAAAAGAAGATCAACACAAAACATGATGATCATCACTCCTGCGTGGAATCTGATTATAATACCACCCCTGGGAATAGGGTAGGCAAAGGTCATTGTTATGTAAAAGGAATGGGCATTTTGAATGAATATGAAAGAAGGCATATGGCCTAGTCTCTTTTCTTTTATTTTAAATCTGTTTCTAAGTAAATTAGATGTTTGCTACCCTCCCCTCCGGTAGTAAACCCGAGGATCAGTGTCTCCAGAGATGGTGTTAACAGGCTTTATTGTATTCCGTTTTGGTGGATGCATGTACTTGGTAAATATTTGTTAAATCAATGAATTATTGAGGAGGTAATGCTGTTGTTTAACTATAGTCAGGAGAAAAGGCTGTTATTAACTGTGACAAAGCAAGCATCATTGTCTTTGTCATTCTTCAACATTTAAGTGGTCAGAATCAAATAATTCCGTGTAACAAAGTCATTTTCTACAATTATCTCAAGATCTATTTTGAAACTAATTCCTTTTGGCAGCTACATCTGGATGCGGTGTCATTTCAGGCGAGTCTGTAAAAGTAACACTGAAGAATTTTCCTGACTCAGATTGAATGATGAGTAATATTTGCCTTGGACAAAATTCAATATACCTATATCTTATTTTCTGCACTGTGCGTTAGAGTATAAGGTGTCTATCTGTTTCTTTTGTGGTTTGAGTATTCATTTTTATTTTGTTCTGAAACAGATTTTTTAATTAGTTACTAAATATTATATAATATGCGCTTAAATTATGTAATATAAGCGTATATTATATAACATCTATAATGAGCATATATTATAATATGTATTATATAATATAGAGATTGTATTAATGTATTTTAAAGATGATGAAAGTAATTTATGCTTCTAAATACAAAACTATTTCTTAAAGTATGAAATTTCCTTTTTCAACTTTTGCTTTTCCACCACTCTCCAGGGTAACAGTTGTTCACTGTTTGAATATTTTTATATGGGGTGTGTGTTGGGGGAGGGGTGTGGGTATGGGTATGATACCTGTACACCACATGCACTTGAATATATGCTTCCTCTAAACATGTTGTTCTTCAACTTGCTTATCCTTACTAATTACTTTATCATGGACACCATCATATTAGTACCTGTTTTCTTTGTAATGGCCCTATATTAGTTTATGGTATGTATGTGCCTTCATTTATTTAACCATCTGCCTCTTAGATCATGTCTTACTGTTTTATTTCAAATAACACTTCATTGACTATGTAGGCTGGGCTGTGGATTTCTGTAAGAAAAATACCTAACGATGTTCAACAAATCGGACCGCCTGCCTTTTGTACTTTAATAGTACTGCTGATCACCCTCTACAGAAGGTAGTGTTGTTTGTTACAAGGCACCATATTGTGATGGCGAAACGCTCAGACTCCCAGGGCGTGGTTTAACCCCAGCTCTGCTTATTCTTGGTGAACATGAATTAATATACTTGTGTTTCAGCTCCCCCAACTACAAAAAAACAATACCGACTTTGATATGTGAATGTGGGAATGAAATACATTAACTAAGTCAAATTATCATAAAAGTGGCTCCCCTATTTCTATTGCAGATGCTTTCCAGAAGTCTGTAAGTCCCACCTGCTGTTATTAAGAGGAGCACCTTGTGAGGATTCCCATGATACGGAAAGCTGGGGTCTCCTCTGATGGCTGCTTCAGAAGGTTGTCCTGAGGGAAATGCTGGCTTTCCCCATGGATTTTTCATACGGCTAGATTGTTTAGTCTCCCACCTATGGACAAAATTGTACGTTAGCTCCTAAATTTTTATAATATTGTATTCTGCCCTCTGCAAGTCTGGTGTTCAGAGTTATTACATCTGTCTATAGTAGTAAAATATAAACTCCAAGTTGTTAGAGTATATAATCTAGTAATCACATTCGAAGATGGGAAGACTGTCTCCTTGGATTATTTTACCTAATTATTCTCAATTATGAGTTTATGTTATATTTAGATTTTTATGAGGGGATCTTCGACAAAATTTACATATGTCCTGTGCATGCTTGTGTGAAACTCCCATTGAAGATCTCGTTCATTATCACCGAATGCCTTTATATGCATATCTAGATAAGACCATTATCTTAGTTTAGAACTAGGAGGACCTTTATCTGCCCTGACAACCTAATGTTCTTTTATTCAGCTAATGGGTATTAACTGACTCATGTTTGCAATATTCATTTTAGCTGCCATGAAATTAGTAGTCAGCCACAGCAACTTTCTTCTCAGGCACGATTTCTCAGTTTTGAAATATTATGTTGTGTGTTTTTTTTCTTTTAAACTAGTGCAGATATTGCTTTTTTTTAAACAGGATGTGATAAGGAAAGCAAGGTAGAGGTGTTTAGATGGGCTGAGAGATGAGGAAATGTGAGTTCAATAGCAGACACCGAGAGGGCCTGTAGATCTGACCAGGAGCTCCTCAGATAATCCTGGGGAAAATCACAGACAGTGGAGAGCGGTTGTCCAAGGATGGAGCCACGTGGGTTCAAATCTGGGCTCTGTCGCTTTCTAGCTGTGACTCTGGGAGAGTTAAATTAACTTCTCTGCTCCTTAGTTACCTCGTCTGTCATCTGTAAAATGAGAGCAATAAAAGCCCCAATAAAACGACTGTTTTGGGGATTAGGTGAGAGTATATGCATGTTAGAATGATGCATGATGTAGAGTACCTGTTGTGTGTTTGCTGCTGCTATTATTATTATTATTATTATTATTATTTATAAGCGTACTGGCCTCCTGGATGTTCCTCAAAGACAGAAGGCTTGGGACCACTGTATGGCCTTTATACACACTGTCTCCTCTGCCCAGAAAAATTTTCACTCCTATCCTCACATGGCTGGACCATCTCATTGTAGCCTCAGTTTAAATAGGATTGTCCAGAGAGGCCTGCCCTGACCACTCTCTATGTGGTCTCCTTTCTCCGTGTAAATACATTTCCCGCATACAAGAACATTTTTGAAATCACAACTAGTGATTTCACTTTATGTCAACTCTCAGTAAAATTTTAGAGTGCATTATTAAATAGATGACTGTGAGCATTTAGAAATGGAACTAGTGATCCCTGGAAGGCATATGGATTCTCCAAGTTAATTCCTGTCACACTAAATTAATTTATTTTTGATAGGATTATGAGTCTCACACTTCAGGGGGAGGCTCCTGTCGGAGCTGAATTTCAGCCAGTCTGACATAGTCTATTATGAA